GCAGAGCGCCACCGCCGGCCGGGCCAGCGCATCCTTGTGATGGCTCAAATTACCGTCTCGAGGGGGCCGTATTTGATGCCCTGCCAAAATTGCTGTAATGATGAGTTTTCTGAAGAATTGACAGCATTTAAAGAACTCATACACAGTGCTGTATTCTGATTTTCAAAATAAAATAACAATTTTTACATGATTGCCGGTTCTCAATCTAAGGTGACATTAGTTCCGGAAAGAAAAAGTACTAGAACTGAAGGCCAGCAGACAAATAATTGACAGTACGATCGGTGCCGCGGGGGCCCGATCAAGTCACCTGATTGCGGTTTGGTCCTGAGAAGTCAACGAGAGTGTCCCAACAATAACTTTTATTGTACAAAAGTGCAGACCCTCCTTAGTGGTGCTTGCTACAATGTTTGGAATTTCAAACCTTCTTTCCAATTTCTTCAAAAAAAATCATTATACAATAATAAAATAGCACTTAAAATATAATTAATACAAATCATTTGTGCTTGTTTGCGCGTTTGTCGCAGATCCCGTGCTTTGGGATAAATTCAGAAGGCCCGGCTCTTGCTTGAGTATGTAAACAAAACCCGGTGCCATGCTTTTGAGGCATCAGTCTGTAGGATAGAGCGTTTTCTTTCACGTGAAAGTACGGGCTTGCTCTCAACCTCTGAATTTCCCATGCAATTCATTTACCTGCACTTGGATGCAGTCTGTATTATTTTTGCGACAGTGAAATTGTTCTTCTTTTGCGGCAGCTTTTTGATTCGTTGCCACAACGTTGTTCATTTTTGCGACAGCGGGGGGTTCGGCGAAATGCCGCCACTGGCAATAGAGCCAACATTGCCATGAAAACTGATGTATTATAGGCCGTAATGAATTAAATCCCAATCAAAGTGCGCCGGTATTTATATGACGTTTATACGAGGTGACGTTTAGAGTCTGCACAACATTTGCTTAGAATCTGTTCCACAGCCAACCGTAATACTCCGCACGTGTTGGTGGCGGTTGCCGCATTGTTGCCGGTTGTCGGCAGCGCGAAGTAAAGGCTGTCCGAAGAAAGGAATGGGGAGTGACGGGGAACTTTAGACCCTTGTAGACAACCTGTAGACCCGTTTAGACCCTTGTAGACAACCTGGCTGACCCTTGTACCGATGTGGAAATGGGGGGTCCAATTTCCCATCCTGTCATGCCTGCTCAAAGTGTAGCCTCCGCTGACGCCCTGATGCCATTTGGGATTCCTGGGTGTGCAACAGCTGGCCTGCGCTGCCACGCACCTCGGTGCAGCCCTTGTTGCTTGATGCTGCATCAGCGCAGATCTCGGAGTTAAATGTTCCCATTCGGACATGGTGCCTGAGGCCGAGCATACCCCTTGCTCCTGATGGCAGACGTTTGCAGGCATCGAATGGCACCAGCAGAGGCTGGCATGCGCTGTTGGGCAGCTACGCAGTCTGCGATGACAGACGCTTGCATCCAGACAAAATTTGGATGTTCGGATTTCCCATTCTGAGATGCCACACAGGAGGCGCAGGCTGACTGCTCTACCCACACGTCCCATACCCTTGATGGCTGGTGTAGGTAGGCATTGGGGGGCGGCAGTTGGCATTCGCCACCAAGCATTTGGAGGTAGTCCTTGGTGCTGGATAATGGCATCCGCACAAACTCGGAAATTTGAGACTGAACATTTCAGGGAGGTTTAGGAACAAGCGTTTTGCTGCTGATCAGCAGCGCTTTCAGTCATCTTTCCACCTTACATCGATTTTGTTGCAATTACATAATCTCTTAGCGCCACAGGTATGGACCCCCCCCCCACCCTCTTAGCGTCAAATTGACGCTAAGCGTAGCGAAATCGACATAGTGTCTTCCCTTAAATTGACTTGACAACACTATTTGCACAACAACAGCGCTAGCCATTGGCACTACTGTTGATTTTTAGCAATTGCCCCTTCGACTCAGTGCGAATTGAATACGGGCCCCCAGTACCTGGCGCGAACTACGGGAAAAGGGGCCGTCCATGCATCTTCCGAGAGCCTCGGACACGTCCGCACAGCGCACAGACATGGCTCGAGCGGCCCTTGAAATCGTCCGAGGATCTTGTACGGTTTTGTGCGTCGTTCTCACATGTCCAGACTGTCGAAGGTGCTCGAGCGCGTCCTGAGCGTTCGAGGCCTCGGATGTGACAGGTGCATGCGCAGAAACTCTAAATTCCCCGCAGGTCCGGGAAACGCTCGGAGTCCGAGCCTTGGACGTCAAGAAAGGTGTACGCGGAAAACGTGGGCAACTTTTCTTTTCTTTTTTCTTGGAGGGGGGCGCTGGGGGAATGCGCGGATGTCAGGGACAGCATGTGCGGAACGCGCGGAGAGTTTGAGTGCGCTCGGACACAGCTACAACATTGTTGTGTGTACAGACAGACTGAAACTATGCGAGCATTCCAGTCATTGCCGCGTCAGCGGAATGTACGATAACCCCCACCTCTGCGCCATAACGAGCTGAACCGCTGGGCACCCAACTCATCGTCCTGGGGACCACGCGGAGAACGCCTTCCGCTGGCGCGACTGCTCGGTGGTGAGCGCGCGGCAACCGGTCCAGAGCGCTGCACGGGCGAGCAGCGGGCGCGGAGCATGGCGAGGAGGATTGCAGACACTCCACTGAGGATCAGGCGAGGCACGGAGCGATATTAGAGCGGAGGAATGGCGGATGCTTCAACTGAGACACCAAGCGACGTCGCGGGGCCGTCCATTTGCAAATGAGTGTGGTTTCAGTGTCGAAAACTGGTCGGCGTTGACTATCTGAAGGGCGCCCTTCGGGCGAAATGCGCAATGCCGACATGCCGCGCGACACCTGTCGGGTATTTTGCCAACCCGGCGAGTGTCAGTTTCGACCCGCGCGATTGCACTGGAATGCCAAGATCACTCACCTTGCGCATCGAGTTTTCGATGATCCTTCAGTTGAATTTGCTTGCTTGTTTGCCAAATTACGTTTGCTTACACTGTTTGGATTGCAAGTTGGTTCAGACAAAGTACTCCAGGATTGAAGACACAAAGTCTCAAGACTATGTGACTCAGTGATGGAAATCAGATTGCGAAATCGTGTCATCTGCAAAGGCAAATTCGCCTTTCGTCTATCTCAAGGCTTGGTGGCTTGAGTACTTGAGTGAACGAAGCTAATTTGCATCCTCGCAGACGTCTGTTCTCCCCCCTTTCTGCTCTCAGGGCGCCGGGACCACTTTGCGTCACACTCACTACCACCGCAGCTGGGTGAACGATTCATGGGCCTCATCGCCGGGCAGTACGAGGCAAAGAAAGACGGCTTCCTGTCAGGGGGGCCCAGCCCCCACCTGTGCATGAAGCCCACAGACAGGACACCAAAACCTTCGAGGAGGCCATAGCCACAGAGCAGGAGGGTCCGTGGCACATATCGCGCGACATGCTGGCATTCATGTTCAAAACGAACCACACATGGGTGTGGCGCGCCCTGGGCCACCCCTGATCTTTACCCCATAAAAACCGAACGAACTGACCTTTTCACGCGTGAAAAGAGATTGTACGTTAAGTGCGACGTAAGTACAGCCCCGTGTGCATAAGGGCGGTACATACAGACTTCAGGAATCCGGGGAATGGCAGTCAGACGCGCTGGAATGGGTACAAAACGAAGTTTTGTTAAGAGAGGGCGAGGTGGGCCTATGTTGCGGGGGGTGAAGATGGCGGAGGACTGATCATTGTACGCAATTTTCATCGTGTAACGTGGGTGTCCCAGGGAGCCGTGAGAACGTAAAAGCTGCAGCAAAAATACCCTCTTTCGCTAATTTGCATTTTCATGCGGTAAAACGTGAACAGAAAAACATAAACGCAAGCATAAAACCCAAGCCTGCCCCGGGCGACGCCTGCTGCGCAGGGGTACCAGTAGTGCGAACGGGATTATTACCAGTGCTGGATGGGGTTGAAGAGCCACTTTGACTGGGGTTGGAGGTACGGGGGAAGGGAAGCAGCGGGTTTGGGTTTCAGCCGGATGCTGGGTCAGGGGCCCTGAAAGGGATGTTGCAGAGTTGGCCGCGTGCATCGGCAAGGGCAGACGCGTGCCCATGCGCTTCCAGACAATCAACCCATGTCGTCCAGCGAGGAGGTGGCCGTCAGGTCGATGCTGCGCCATCGAGTTTGCCTGCGAACGACGTGACAGGAGATGGGCAAAGGGCGGGAGGCGTTCTGCGAATGTGTGCATCGTTCACTGCAATGGGGACGCGCATGTAGGGCAATGCAGCCACGTGCAGGGCAGGATGTTGACTCCTCCCCAACTAGAGTTCCTTTGGAATTGAAAAGACGCCACCCATTTGCCCACGAAGTGATGTGGTACGGCTTGGGCCGGCGCCGTCCCACAAGTCCAGGTCTCTCGAGGTGCGATGGCATCCGCATGTAGGATTGTACGTTGAGCGCATAATTATGACCCTGGATTGGTGGTTGGAGATGTGCTGGTGTCCTGTACTGGTGCCTGGCGCGGGGTGTTTCATAGGCGCTTGGAAAGTATGATGGGGGGTCGGTGGATATTTGGGATGGGTGAATTCACTGCGACTGCGTGTTGTCACAGCATGGTTGAGTTTGTAAAGGAAATGTGTGGTGAGCACATGCAAATTTCACATTGCGAATGCAAGAGAGCATGGCAGCGAAGAAAACAATTGCTGGAGCTGATCGCGCACTTTGTCACACATCGGAGAGGGACCCTGACAAGACAGCAACAATCTGGGGTAGCTAAAGTGCCAGTGGACGATCGCGAACGCCCAGGGCCATGGCAAGGCATGGTTAGCAAGCACAGCGCAGTACACAGGAACGGCGCCCCTGTGCCTGGAATGCGACACGAAGGCGGGTTGGTTTGAGAGCTGCACACTTGCATGTCATCCTGGCACGCTCCGTCTCAAGCGTGACCACCAGAACAATGCTCGTTGTGGACAATGAAACTCTACCAGCTAATCTTCTCGTCAAGTTGCTGTGCGGGATTGCCATGCACAGTTATGTTCAACAAGTGGTGCACCGCGCCATACATTCGACTGCAGTGTCCAGGGCGCAGACGGCCAGAAGCGGCAACGGAATGAGTGGTCGTGATGATGGGGACACAGCAGGCGGGCGCACCATGGGCTCCCAAGCCACATAACTTTCCACTCTACAAGACACCCCAAGTGCTAGCATGCAGATGCCAGCAGAGCATCCCTTGAATCCTGCACCTCCTTTCTTTTTTGAGCAAGCAGTCCATGAGGAGCTGCTGGATCTGCACGTCCTAACTGCCACAGCATTTCTTCTACCGCGCTTCAGGCCCATTAGCAAGGGCCGCCCTTCACAGCACGAGAAGCGTGCCTAACTGACATCTTTGGATGAAGCAACGTCCGAGATTCGCTAGTGAGACGATTGGACACAACCACTGCAAGACAATCGTTGTTCCACCTTACTGTGCCACCACCAACAGATGCAGCTTCCATTCTAGCATATCTATGCTTTGCACGGTGTGATCATTCCGGCAAGTCTCTGTTTCATTCAGTGACGCCCAGCCTCTTTGCCAGTTCATGATGACCCTCGGCGCTGGCATATTGTGCCGCTGATCTTCCGTCCTGAACACAACGAACGCCCATCAAGCAGTTGTGATGGCTGCACAGCGAAGAGGTCAAACTGATGACGGGGTGTCAAATGACGATTTTTTGGTGTTCTAAAACTACGGGCTTGCATTGCTTTCATACGCGAAAAAGGAGCGGGTCGGCTGGGGTGCCTGCAACCATTGGCCTGGGATCTGCAACGTGCCAAAACAATTCTGAATGCATATTATGCTTATTTGGCGTTGAGCGTCCGAATGCAGCTGATTGTGTACTTGCTGACGCAATTCAATTCAGATATCCAACAACCAAGAGCCAAGCACAGCTGAGGACCCTTTTAGAGGTGGAATATTCCCGCACATCTGGAACACAAATTAGGTTGCATTTCCTCCCAGTAAGTATTGGCAACATCCGCGCACACAATGTCACATTCAAGCCGTTGCGACTGAAATGTCACCTTGTCGGTCGTCGTCACCGAACCCCCTCTGCTCAGCAGCAGTTCTGCAGCTGCTGTGTGGCCATCCCTTGCTGCCGCCATCAGCGGAGTCATGCCATTCTGCAAATCAACGCACACCATCATGGCACGTTTAAAAGTTGCCATAGAATCCGCTATACAATGGGCTCTGTTTGGATGCAAAGGGACAGCAACGGAAGCACACAATGCAAAAAGACCCAACACTCCCATCATACATCTCCTTGCGAACGTCATGGGCACCCGATTTCCTAAGGTATGCGTGGCTTGCCAGAAATGCTATTCCTCATTTGCCTCCCAGTTTATGTTCAGTTGTTGGAAAACCAATGCATGCAATGTATGTCCTGGCCATTTTAGCGGCAAGGCTGTCTCGGTTATAGGTGGCAGTCTCATCAGTAGTCTGGGCGTTGCTTGCCTACGTTCGGCCCCATGCAAGAAGGTAGGTCGGACAACCACTTGTGTGTATTCACAACTAACTTTCTAGCGCTCGAGAGAGTGTGCAAAGGTGCATTCGACGCCCGCAGAAAATTTGTTGTGCATTGGAGTGCCTTGAAAAGTTAAGCCGTTCAGCACTATGGCAGTTTCTCATCTTTCGATGTGCCCAAACTGCACTTTGCAAAAAAGTTGTTCAAAAGGGTTGCTCAACAGAGTTCTTCGCCAGGTACTGAAGGCCGGTGGGACCATAGGAACGGACTAGCTTTCTTGCTAAACAGTAATAAAACTCATTTGCTGATCGCGTTTTGTTGGATGACGAGCTCCAGCACAGGTTAAAGGCCATCATTCAAGAACGCTGGCAGGAGCTGCTTCATTACTCACAGCTCGGGTTTTCTTGCAAGCAGTGCTGCTTTCTCATTGCAGCTGCCAGGAATAAGAGCCCGGCATCTCTGAGTCACTGCGAAAATCTGAATCATTTGTATTCCTAGGCTGCACCATCAGAAAGGCAAGCAATAATACCTGTATTCCACGTATTCGTTTGTCAGGTGTAGGTTTGTTTGTAGTTTTTGCTGTGAGCCTGCAGAGTGTGCCTTATTAGTTTGGCAGTCAATCTGCTTTCAGCTGTGCGGGGCAGCAGAATGTGAGCATGCATGCATGTGTGTGTCATCTGAAGTAGCAGCAAACATGCACTGTGCTACATCCAGGCCAAGGATCAATGAGGCTATATCATGCACATGTGATGAGCTGCAAAGCAAAGCCAACAATGTGCGTCTTTATACAGAAAATCAGGCCCATGAGAAAGAAAGGCAGGGCCCCCTTGTAAACTGATGGAGGGCCTCTGTCATTCCAGGCAAGAAACAGCGGGCACTGTGTGTCCACCAGATCAGCAAGCAACCCCACGAGATGGTAGGCAGGACTTGGCATGCATGCTACTCAGCCCAACCAGCTTGCCTGGTGGGCTTTTCGCTCCACAACATGCCACACAGCCTCGACGCCCTTGGAGGCTGGTGGAAAAGCAACAGCTGCTCACTGGGTCGAATTCTGCATGCGTATTTTGACCACGCGAATGGATGTGCACTGTGTGTTTACCCAACAGCCATGGACTCGCAGTAGGCGATCCAGCATGACGACAGGGCTCCAAACAGCTTTGGAACGAGGTTCAGTTGTTAGAAACTGCGTTGTGAGCGTTACATTGCATGGGGAGAGCGTCCGTCAATCAACCATAGTGACAAATGCATCCCAACATCTCATTTGATGCGATGTTGGCAGTCTGCAACACACTGTACAGCACTGAACAATTCTCTTACCTTGTTTGGCAGATCCACGGCTGCACCATGGTCCAACATAATCTTCACAATTTCTGCAGCAGTTTGTTCATCAGTCTTCGGGTGCCCTGCCTTCTGCCAAATACCCAAAAGAGGCGTTTCTCCTGCCTGTGCATCCAGCACATCAAACCATTTGCAATGCTTTGCAACACGCAAAACGCCTGGAGTTTGTCACAGATATCAAAGGTAGTTGGCGAGTGGATAACCACCAACTCGTCATATTCATGCAGTCGACGAATTGTCAGTCCAACTGAAACTGCAGGTTTCTCACGCATAGGGGAGGCACCGATTCGATGACAACACCCTCAGTGCTGATGGCAACATATTTGATGCTGAGGGTGTGGAAGGGTGGTCCGTCCAAATAGCAGGTGCAAAGAAATGCCAGACCTGCAGAGGAGTCAACACATGAGGAGGCCTTCAAAGCAATCAACTCAACGGCCAACCACGCCACTGGATTTGCATTCAGTTTGCACTTGTATCGCTCGGTGGAGGTTCGATGAACATACCAGTCCTCAGCCCACGTGCCCACGTTCACATTATCATTTGAATGCAGAGTTCCTTCACCGGAATGGATATAGAACACTGTATCAGGTTTACAATACCATAGTAAAAGACAATCCTACCTCGTTTTGTCTGTCCATGGCTGCACCACCCTTCAGCAACAGCTCCACGGTGCTTGGATGCCCATTAAGTATTGCCTCTGACAGGGGCGTGTCACCATACTGTGCAGTTTGTCACACACCAGAAGATCAATGCTCGGGACTGGCACAAAGGTGCAACTCGGTAAACCTGACTGGCAGGATATCAAAGCAGTTTCAACACCGTGCCATTCCCAGCTCAAGGCATCAGACGCATGCAATGGCAGAGGCAAATGGGTCCTATGCAGCAGTAGTCAGTACTCTCAAGCAGAAAGACCTGCAACGAAATCAGCAATTAAAGATGTTGAGGAAAGATGACCACAAGGACTAGGCGCCTGCTTCTGAGCACCCACGTTCCAGCCGGAGATGGACACTGCAGGTACACCAACCTATATGGAAAGCTCACCTTGTCAACACTGTCCACTTGTGCGCCGCGGCTCAGCAGCAACTCCACTGTGGTGTTGCAGCCCATCATAGACGCATCTGAAAGGGCTGTGCAACCGTGCTGCAAGTTGCACATGACAATCAGAGCGGAAACAAATTTGGACATTTGGACGCATCATTCAGGCTGTCTGACCTCAGCCAGTTTTGGTCAGTGCACAAGTAAATGAATGTTATCTGGACAGCTGTGTTGCCATATCAGTCGTATTGTGTGCCAAGCCAGGCCAAATTAGACTTGTCAATTACACCACACACTGCAACCTTGCAGTAAGATACGGAATTTCATAAATTACAGTGCAAAGACCCTGTGTTCAATGTGCAGTAAACGCACATTGCCACAACCAGTCGCACAAATTACCATGAAACCCCCACACCCAAGCTCCCACACATTTTTTCCATCACATGTCATCTACTCCTGCCACTTGGGCAATTTCAAGGCCTTCTGCACCCTTTTAAACGCAGCCCAAGCATGGTCTGGTGCGAGACCTTGACAGCTTTTTGGTGATTGAAAGTCGTTTCAATGGCTTGCGGTGTGAGATTGGCGTCGATGAAGGCGTTGGCATTTCAAGGGACGATGAGAAGGTGTTGTGAAGCCATTGGAAGGCTGGAGATCACCACCTCTTCCCTGACAATCTACTGTTAATCTCTGGAGAAGACAACGGGGCCCAGAGAGGGTGTCGCAGTGAGCCAAAGACAAGTGTGCTTTGTGGAAAGTGCCGCAGACCACCGGGAATAGCGCGCCCCACCCCCACCCACCCACCCACCCACCTGCATTCTGCAGCAGGGGGCTGACTCAATAGCGGCCCACTGCATTGTCGTGCTGGCTCACCAACCCGGCCAATTTATCGTGTTACATAATGCGCCATCCATGACAGCAGCCAAAATCGGTGTCAAAAACGGTGACCGGATGCCATAGATCGCTGCATTTACGCTGCGCTCCCCCTGCAGATTGACTGGCAAAGCGAACCTTGCCTTGTTCATGTAGCGCATTATTCAACATTACGTAAGGCGCCAATCACAGCCCCAAACAAAAGTAACGAACAACAGCTAATAGGACGTTGCACTGCACTGTGTTGTGCCACCCCTGTGTCAGTGAGACCATGAACGACAATGTCCGACTATGGTAGCCATAGCCACAAGACGACCGATAGTGAGGGAAGCAGAGAGCCTTGTGGGAAGCAAGGACCATGCCCAGAAGCAATAAAGGAAATTATTCCTTCCAGAACAAACCTTTCGAATTCCAGGAAAGGACTCCTCGGGTAGCGGTGCTAAGAGTGCCATGGTGTTTGATTGAGGAGGAATGACTTGGCACTTGGAGTGGACTTGATAACATTGGGGTGATAGCTCATGCAGTGAGATTTAAGAATGTGTGAGAATGTTTCTGTATTGTGGTTGTATGCGATGATGAAGTGAATAGTCCCCCTCCACGCCATCTTGCGGAGCCCCGCGCTCTGCAACACCAGCCATGTTTGATAACCTGAGGGGGGAGGGGTACCTGAAGGCCCCCGTGCTATTAAACACCCCCCGCGCTATCCCCCGTGATCTACAGTAGTTAGGAACTTCCTAATGGAAGTGCTTTCAGAGCCTGTCTACCTTGCTGCGGACGAGCATGTCTTCGACAGACCAGCATGGGGGCAGAAGAACTGCCAGATTCATAGTTGAAGCAGCGAGCAGCTTGCTCGCTGGACATTGAAGGTTACTGAGCTGTGGGATCGTTGATGCCTGAATACCAAGCCCACGTCGCTGGCCTGGCTCGTGAGATAGCAGGATTAAGGGAAAGGTGCTTGTTTCTGTAGAACTCGGAGAGGAGAAGACTTACAGTTGTGAGGTTTCAGAGAGGGAGGCATCGTGTCTTGAGGCACAGACAGTTACCCAAATCACTGGGGTGCATAGGCATACTGTGCTTGTGTTGCCGATAGTATTCTGCATTGGCTGCATCGTGCCTTGAACTCAGGATTGGAATCTGCTCTGGGAAATTGGTGTGTGGACGTGATTCACCACAGGTGGCCAGTTGTACAACCCAATAGTCACAATGATGAGGGCCATTCAAGATTTTCGATATCAAGGAAATGGGATTTTACTGATCCAGCTCCAGATTTTGCCAATGAGGTGTTGTCCATCATGGACACTTTTGTGTAGCTACAGCATGCCAATCTGCTGCAAGTCGGCAAAAGTCCCAGATTTCAGACATGAGCGCGACATGGGGGGGCCCCATATCCTGGGTATTGATTACGGCAGTGGCGCCCTATCCCAGATAAGCATGGGAAGGAAATAGTCTCAGCCTGGATACGAATGCTCCATATCCAGGAGCCCATGTCCTGCAACATGGTGAACATAGAGATGAGGATGTGGCCATGGATTGGGATATGGGCACGCAGATCCTGGGATATGGCAATAC